TATAGCTAAGCCAGTCGACATAAATAACCCTTATATTAGCCCATACATCTGAAAAATAAAGCAGTTCCTTCATAAACTAAATGCCAAAAACTACAAAATAAAGTTGGTATGGGTAAAAGCCCATGTCGGAATTAAGCTTAATGAGAGTGTTGATAGATTAGCTAGGGAAAGCATTACTGCTGGAGAAATCTTGGACCACCTTCTTCCCATAGATGAATATATTCATGTGCAAAAAAAACAAACGAGAACTGATTGGGAAACTATATGGGAGAAATATAAAAACACAAGAATAAATAGATCTGTATTAATACAACCCGAAATCCCTAGATACACCTGGTTTAGTAAATACAAATACAACAGAAAAACCTTAACGACACTGATAAGGATCAGATTTGGACATGCATGTTACCCAGAGCATCTAAATCGGATCGCCCTGACCGACCCCTGAGGCGTGAAGAAGTGTCCTCTGTGAAGATCGCTAGCATCATCCCACTATAACAGTAGACTTCCAGTTTGGAAAAACATGAATCCAAAATCAAACCGATGATCCATCATTCATATAATGCTTAGTGACTGACTGCATGAACACCTAGTTCTAATGCCAAAAAAAAAAATCCAGATACATCTAGTAGGTCTACAGATATGCATGTTGACTTTGCACATGATGCTCAGAATACTGGACAAGTTTTGAAATCTGAGCAACATATCAGAAATGGGGACATAATTGATGCATCCGGATCTGCACAAAGTAACTTGGATAATGGAAATGAAATGACCATAGAACATTCTAGTCTGTACAGTGATAACAAATATACAATTGCTTCTGACAAAACTGTATCTGACGACAAGGTTGTTTCAGCCTCTAAAGTTATTGAGAAAAAGATGCCTTTTGAGTCTAGAAAAAAGTAAGTGGAAATTGGGAATTTTAAATTATAAGTATTATTTTTTTATCAATGTGTTCGTATCCAGGGTGCTCCAACTCGTGAAAATAATGATATTGAACCAAATGTGTTTTAGTAAAAAGTTCCTAGTTGCTGAGATATAGAAGTTTATCCAAGATATTTTTTTCTCAGCTTAAGTTGTTTTTGAAACAACATGAAAATTAGGAATCGGGGTTTCTTGGCATGAGAAATAAGAATATGATGTGTTTCTCAACATAATGGGTGCTAAACAATACGGTATTCCTTAATTTTTATCAAAAACTATTTGTTATTTAAAATTGATGTTGTCCCCTTGAAGATAATTCTGTACAGATATTATGTACTTGCATGAGAGCACTTTCCAATCCTTGAAGTGATTCTAATAAACACTTACTTCTCACGCATACTGAAAGATTTTTTGGTAGATTTCGAAATCGGTAGTTCGGAGAATAGGACTAAAATATCGGTAGATCTACCGAAAAATAAGACCTGGTAATATTGCCCCTAATGGCCAGAAAATATAGCTTTTGACTCTGACGTGCCGCGCGGCCGACGGCCCGCAACCCACTGCTGGCTCCACCTTCCACATTTGTAAGAAAAAAGATTCATCGATCACTATTAATACCTATTGACATTTGATAGAAACATTTTGTTGCTCAAAGGTATGGTAATATTTTGTGAATAAACTGGATGATTTCCTTGATTAATGCAATAATATGAAAATTAAATCAAGGACTTATGCATTTGTTATTTATGTCGTCGTCGTCGCTGGATCGATGCAATCAAAAAGACATTACAGAGAAACGCGGAACTCTTTGAACTAGGCGTACAGTCCAGAAGACTCTGCTCCTATATTTGTAGCCCCAATATGAACAGCTTAACTTAAATGATGGGCACACTGGCGTATTCAGGGGGGCTTTGACCGCCGCATAACGCAACGGCTTGGTATATTTCTCTTTACATATTACATCATTCGATACTTTTTGTAAAATGTAGCCCACTATGGCCCAAAGGACATGAACCACCCTGTTCTGCAATTTTCAATCCCCCCCTCCTCCGCTGTGAGACGGACATCTCCGTGAATCGTAAGCCTCTTTGGGGTTGTCAGACACCCCCTGCCAAAACGCTGTGGATTGGATGTTTCTCTTTACTTATTACAGCCATACGTTTTGTGAAATGTAACTCCCCTGGACGAATCAAGATTCAAAACCGCCCCATGCTCTGCAATTTTCAATTGCCTCCCCCAGAATGATTTTCTAATTGTCTTAATTATGTTTTCTCTTTAGTGAAATCCACACAAAAGAGTAGAGGGCAGGTAAGCAACAGATTGGTTTGAAAGTCATAGGCGAAATTTTTTGTCTGGAATCGACGTTAAAGAACAGATCGCGTGTAATGATGAGTATCGATTTTTTACGTATGTAACCATTAGGGTCAGGCGGATTTGGGGACGTCTTAAGCTGTGCCGGGACCCCTCAATACCACTTATTAAAATTTATCGTAGATTTTTGGACACGTTTCCCTATCAAGCCCGGGAGCCTGCGCAAGGGCATTATGGACACATAGGTTAGAGACGGAAGGGCGGATCTTGTTATTGTGTACACCACTTTTTCTAATTGCTTCTTCTCCCTTTCAGGATCCTTGTCAGAAAACGGAAGAGATACATTCAAATTTATCGTTTTTGGGTACAATTTCTACTTCACCTGAACATAACACTGCCAAATCACAAACATCAACTCTTGAGCAAATCAGAGCCTACAATGATATTCCCTTATCAGTTAGTGAGATTCACAGTCAGATAAACGAAAACCAACATAGTCAGGCACACATTTTAAATATAGGTCAACAGCCATCATCAGACGACGATATTGAGAAAAGCCTCGGTAATATCCTGACACTACCTTCAGACGATAGGGAGTATGATAATATATGCGAAGTGACAAACACTGATCCTGAAGCAATTGTAGAACTTATTACTGAAAGTGACAAGGAAATCAACACGCGAAAAAGAATCAATGAAACGTGTGACAAAATGGAAGTCTGTCCTGTTGCATCACAATTCAAGGATACATCATCGATACGTGAAGCAAGTAAGTCTACTGTGATACCAGAAGAAAATTTTCAAAAGAGGCAAAGCATCAGAAGTAGCGATAAATATGATTTTGAGAACAGCGATCCGATACCCACAAGTACACCAACTATCAATGAAATGGTTGCTTTGCCACATATGTCCTCAAACACGTTCGAAACATTGAATAACTCTCCAAGCTCAAGCAATTTAGAAAGAAGAAATTGAAGACACGTATTATTTCACAGAGTATCCAGATACAACAGTTCAGTCCTGACGTTGAACGCGATCGCGCGCGGAAAACAACACGGCGAATTACCAATAGAGAGTGGTGTTATACATATAAATACATAGGAAAAATTCCTTCCTTTTTTCTTTAACCGTTTGTACAACTCAAGATAATAACTATTATACAGTTTAGTGTGTAATGCCCACGGATAATGATCCCCCTAATGGGGGATCAACTGATATGGACATCTCCTCCATAGGAGGAGGCAGCAACAATGGAGTAGACAGCCGTCAAGGAGTTAGTCTGAATACAAGCATCGCAACTGACACAATTTGCAAAAACCTAAGCAATATTCAGATTCTATTTATGTATTTGTTGAGAAAATAAATACTGAAAATATTGGTACGCTACACCCAATGGCCATAGGCCATATATTTCATAAAAAACTCAACATTCCAAACATTATCAACATCGAAAAAGTAGGTAGAAATAGAATCAAGATTCACGTCAAAAGTTTGAAGGACGCGAATCGTCTAGTTACTAACCAGTCCCTAAAAAATGAAAATTTAAGAGATTTATCCCCAGTAATTTACTACTTAGGAAAGCAGTGATAAAGAATGTTGATACTAGCTTTGACGAAAAATATTTATTTGAAAACTTTTTGTCTCCTGTAACTATCGTTGAGGTAAAAAGATTAAAACATAAGGTAGAAATTGATGGGAAGGCCGCCTATGTTCCCAAGCAATCTATTATAGTGACCTTTGAAGGCAACATTTTACCCTCCTACATTTCTTTAAACAGTGTCCTTTGCGAAGTAGAGCCGTTTATATACAGAGTGGTCCAATGTTACAAGTGTTTGAGATATGGGCATGTTGCAAAACAATGCAGGAGTTCATCGGTCCTATGCATTAATTGCGGCAAAATAAAGGATTCGGAGCACAATTGCAGGGATCCCCAGGATAGCTGTTGTGTTTATTGCAAGAACAGCGATCACAAGGCAACATCCAAAAATTGTCCATCTTATATGGAACAGGAAAAAATTAAGAAAATCATGGCCGAACAAAATCTGACGTTCCTGGAGGCTAAAAAAAAACTCGGTAATACATATTCCTCCATATTAAATTCAAAAAATCGTTTTGAAGTTTTAGGCCAAATGCCCAATACAGAATTTCCTCCTCTCCCTACAAAAGAACCCTCACACAGCCGATCAGCAAACCCCTCACGGTCGCAATCAACAAATTCTTCTCATACAGTCACGCAGCGAATAGCTAGACCCCTATCTGAGCAAGAAAAGCCAAACAAAAAACGAAAAGTTGTATCCCCTATTAATGATTCCCACATTCCGCCCATGTTCCCTTTTTCATTTGGCCCTAGTAACCCCCTACCCTTTAGAGAAACAGACACAACAGAAATCCCTGATGAGAGGTTTCTGGAGACCCTATTCAAAACATTACAACTTATACTAAGTAAAGTAAAATCATTTGAGGAATTGGCTAATATTGATATTACTTATGTGAAGAATATCTATAAAGATAGCTATCCTCCAAATGAAGAGCCCAGTGACCAAGATGAATACTAAACTAAAATCATACAGTGGAATGCTAGATCTGCAGTAGCAAACAAACACAGCCTTGATCAATTTTTGTTCAATAACAACATAGATATTGCTCTGATTTCTGAAACCTGGTTTAAACCAGGTTTTAATGTGATATTCAAAGGATACTCTATTATAAGGAGTGACAGGCATGACGGAAAGACCGGAGTTGCGATATTTGTCCGAAACACTATGAAATTTAAAGAAATAACATGTAGACCTCGCCCCAATTACGTGCAAGTATGCGGTGCAGAGGTGCAAGTTGCAGATTCGCTTCGCCTGTCTCTTCTATCTATGTATGTCCCTCCTAGTGCACATATCCGCACGAATGAATGGATTGATTTGCTATCTCCCTTCGGTCAGGATACAATTGTAGGGGGCGATTTAAATGCCCACCATAGTTTGTGGGGCTCCTACAAGCAGGACCATAATGGGTGCTCTCTTGTGGAAGCACTAAACTCTATAGACTGGGTATTGATGAATGATGGGTCATCTACTAGACTGCATAACAATGGTCTAAATTCAGTTGTAGATTTAACTTTTTCTTCCCCGAACCTAGCTAACATTATTGAATGGAAAACCCATGTTGATACCCTAGGATCAGATCATTACCCTATCCTCCTAGAGATGAAATCCCCTACATCACATTCCGCTTATGAAGTAACTCCAAAATACACATGGAATACCCACAAAGCCAATCGGGATCATTTCCATTCACTTGCAGACAATTATTTCTCAAACTCTCATCCGAATTTCCAGGATATAAATGACAAATATCATTTTTTTATTCAAGGCATTAATGAGTCCGCCCGTAGCTCAATCCCTCTATATAAACCCTTCACAAGACAAAATAAGACACCTGCTCCTTGGTGGGATCGAGAATGCGATGAAGAAATTAATAAACGAAAAAATGCCCTTGCACAGTACAAGCAGATATCCAGCGAAGCCAACTTCATTGCTTGTAAGACAGCAACAGCACACACAGAAAGACTACTAAAAAGCAAAGCAAAAACGCATTGGAAAAAATTCTGTTGCAACTTAAATAAAAACACCCCAAGCACCGAGCTTTGGTCTCAGGCTAAGAAAATGCAGAGAATTCAAGTCACTCATAGGAAATGCAATAACTTGGAGTGGGAAGCAAATTTCCTAGACAAAATCGCTCCTCCTTCGACCACACCATTCTTTCCAGAGATTCACCGTAGTCAAAACCCTGAAAACCTGACTGACAATATCTTCAGTCATCCCATTACTGTCACTGAACTTGAATATGCGCTAAAGAACTCAAACAATTCGTCCCCTGGCTGGGACAACATAACATACTCAATGTTATGGCACCTACCTTTGAATGCAAAGCAGCTATTACTAGAACTTTACAATGAGGTATGGTTAGAAAACGGAGACATTGAAGACTGGCGAAAAATAAATGTTGTTGCCGTGCTTAAACTGGGCAAAGATCCAAATTTATATGAATCATACAGACCAATATCCTTATTATCGTGCATCCTTAAGACTCTCGAAAGAATCATAAAGTACAGACTAGAATGGTTTCTCTACGCAAGAAATTTACTCCCCAAGTCACAATTTGATTTCAAAAAAGGATATGGTACCTTAGATGCTGTAGGGAATGTAGTCACAGATATCCAAAACTGCTTCTCAAGGAATGAATACCTGGGAGCTGCATTTTTAGACGTCAAAGGAGCATATGACTGCGTCGACCTGTTCATGCTAAAAGACAAGTTAGAAGATATTCTGGTTCCAAGTAATACTTGTCGGACTATCATAAAGCTCTTTCTAAACAGAACAATATTTCTCAGATCCAAAACCAACTCACTTCTGGGCCCTAGAGAAGTATCAGTAGGCCTTCCTCAGGGATCAGTTTTATCACCAGTCCTGTTTAACATATATACTAGAGATATCCACGTAGTTAACCCAACATACAATCTCGTACAATATGCTGATGACTTTGTCGTTTACCTAGATAAAAAAGGATTGCAATCATGCAAAGAATCTCTATTAAGCGCTATAACTTCGATAACAAGTCAAATGAACACATTGGGATTCAGCCTATCACCACACAAATCATCCATAGTATTCTTCTCACGGCACAACATTCCTTCAACAGGTGATATAGAAATCAGGGGCTCTCGATTTCCAGTAACAGAAACAGTGGAGTACCTTGGAGTTGTTCTTGACCATAAACTAACATGGTACCCTTTCATTGACAAAATAGTTACGAAGTGTCAAAAAGGTATTAATTTCCTGAAGATGATTCGACGTACCTGGTGGGGAGCAGATCCTGATACAGCGTTAACATTCTATCGCTCATACATCAGTTCGATCATCGATTATGGATGCACTTTGTATGGTTCTGCTAGTCATAAAGCCTTACAAAAATTGGATACACTACAAAACAGTGCATTGAGACTTTGTTTGGGCGCAATGAGGTCAACTCCAATTGAACCCCTCAGAGTAGAATGCCTTGAACCACCTCTTCAGCTAAGGAGACAATTATTGTCAAAAAACAACTTATCAAGTCAGAAGTAAAGCAAGACCATATAATAAAAAAAAATAAGCACGTTAAACTCTCATGACCTCACCAATAAATATTGGCAGAAAAAACAATCACCCCCCCTTTGTGAAGCATTTAGGAATTCCAGAATAGAGATAGATAATTTATCTAAATACCAATCATCCCGGAATACTCAAGAATTTTTCATTTCCCTCGAGAAACACAACTTAATTTTACCAAACTACATCCCCTCTACCGAAGAAAACTGTCTTAGAGCACTGTTGAATCCTTATCCAGAATACATTAAAATCTATACTGATGCTTCTAAGGACAGCAAAGGAACAGGTTGTGCCTTTATTGCACAACCCAGTGGACATTCATCAAAACTCAAATTGAACAGTCTGACATCTATATTCACAGCTGAAACCATTGCTATTCTCAAAGCCTTGGAATACTTAGATTCCAAGGTAATTATCAAAGGGATTATAATATCAGACAGTCTGTAAGTCTTGAAAAGTATAGCTAAGCCAGTCGACATAAATAACCCTTATATTAGCCCATACATCTGAAAAATAAAGCAGTTCCTTCATAAACTAAATGCCAAAAACTACAAAATAAAGTTGGTATGGGTAAAAGCCCATGTCGGAATTAAGCTTAATGAGAGTGTTGATAGATTAGCTAGGGAAAGCATTACTGCTGGAGAAATCTTGGACCACCTTCTTCCCATAGATGAATATATTCATGTGCAAAAAAAACAAACGAGAACTGATTGGGAAACTATATGGGAGAAATATAAAAACACAAGAATAAATAGATCTGTATTAATACAACCCGAAATCCCTAGATACACCTGGTTTAGTAAATACAAATACAACAGAAAAACCTTAACGACACTGATAAGGATCAGATTTGGACATGCATGTTACCCAGAGCATCTAAATCGGATCGCCCTGACCGACCCCTGAGGCGTGAAGAAGTGTCCTCTGTGAAGATCGCTAGCATCATCCCACTATAACAGTAGACTTCCAGTTTGGAAAAACATGAATCCAAAATCAAACCGATGATCCATCATTCATATAATGCTTAGTGACTGACTGCATGAACACCTAGTTCTAATGCCAAAAAAAAAATCCAGATACATCTAGTAGGTCTACAGATATGCATGTTGACTTTGCACATGATGCTCAGAATACTGGACAAGTTTTGAAATCTGAGCAACATATCAGAAATGGGGACATAATTGATGCATCCGGATCTGCACAAAGTAACTTGGATAATGGAAATGAAATGACCATAGAACATTCTAGTCTGTACAGTGATAACAAATATACAATTGCTTCTGACAAAACTGTATCTGACGACAAGGTTGTTTCAGCCTCTAAAGTTATTGAGAAAAAGATGCCTTTTGAGTCTAGCAAAAAGTAAGTGGAAATTGGGAATTTTAAATTATAAGTATTATTTTTTTTTATCAATGTGTTCGTATCCAGGGTGCTCCAACTCGTGAAAATAATGATATTGAACCAAATGTGTTTTAGTAAAAAGTTCCTAGTTGCTGAGATATAGAAGTTTATCCAAGATATTTTTTTCTCAGCTTAAGTTGTTTTTGAAACAACATGAAAATTAGGAATCGGGGTTTCTTGGCATGAGAAATAAGAATATGATGTGTTTCTCAACATAATGGGTGCTAAACAATACGGTATTCCTTAATTTTTATCAAAAACTATTTGTTATTTAAAATTGATGTTGTCCCCTTGAAGATAATTCTGTACAGATATTATGTACTTGCATGAGAGCACTTTCCAATCCTTGAAGTGATTCTAATAAACACTTACTTCTCACGCATACTGAAAGATTTTTTGGTAGATTTCGAAATCGGTAGTTCGGAGAATAGGACTAAAATATCGGTAGATCTACCGAAAAATAAGACCTGGTAATATTGCCCCTAATGGCCAGAAAATATAGCTTTTGACTCTGACGTGCCGCGCGGCCGACGGCCCGCAACCCACTGCTGGCTCCACCTTCCACATTTGTAAGAAAAAAGATTCATCGATCACTATTAATACCTATTGACATTTGATAGAAACATTTTGTTGCTCAAAGGTATGGTAATATTTTGTGAATAAACTGGATGATTTCCTTGATTAATGCAATAATATGAAAATTAAATCAAGGACTTATTCATTTGTTATTTATGTCGTCGTCGTCGCTGGATCGATGCAATCAAAAAGACATTACAGAGAAACGCGGAACTCTTTGAACTAGGCGTACAGTCCAGAAGACTCTGCTCCTATATTTGTAGCCCCAATATGAACAGCTTAACTTAAATGATGGGCACACTGGCGTATTCAGGGGGGCTTTGACCGCCGCATAACGCAACGGCTTGGTATATTTCTCTTTACATATTACATCATTCGATACTTTTTGTAAAATGTAGCCCACTATGGCCCAAAGGACATGAACCACCCTGTTCTGCAATTTTCAATCCCCCCCTCCTCCGCTGTGAGACGGACATCTCCGTGAATCGTAAGCCTCTTTGGGGTTGTCGGACACCCCCTGCCAAAACTCTGTGGATTGGATGTTTCTCTTTACTTATTACAGCCATACGTTTTGTGAAATGTAACTCCCCTGGACGAATCAAGATTCAAAACCGCCCCATGCTCTGCAATTTTCAATTGCCTCCCCCAGAATGATTTTCTAATTGTCTTAATTATGTTTTCTCTTTAGTGAAATCCACACAAAAGAGTAGAGGGCAGGTAAGCAACAGATTGGTTTGAAAGTCATAGGCGAAATTTTTTGTCTGGAATCGACGTTAAAGAACAGATCGCGTGTAATGATGAGTATCGATTTTTTTTACGTATGTAACCATTAGGGTCAGGCGGATTTGGGGACGTCTTAAGCTGTGCCGGGACCCCTCAATACCACTTATTAAAATTTATCGTAGATTTTTGGACACGTTTCCCTATCAAGCCCGGGAGCCTGCGCAAGGGCATTATGGACACATAGGTTAGAGACGGAAGGGCGGATCTTGTTATTGTGTACACCACTTTTTCTAATTGCTTCTTCTCCCTTTCAGGATCCTTGTCAGAAAACGGAAGAGATACATTCAAATTTATCGTTTTTGGGTACAATTTCTACTTCACCTGAACATAACACTGCCAAATCACAAACATCAACTCTTGAGCAAATCAGAGCCTACAATGATATTCCCTTATCAGTTAGTGAGATTCACAGTCAGATAAACGAAAACCAACATAGTCAGGCACACATTTTAAATATAGGTCAACAGCCATCACCAAACGACGATATTGAGAAAAGCCTCGGTAATATCCTGACACCACCTTCAGACGATAAGGAGTATGATAATATATGCGAAGTGACAAACACTGATCCTGAAGCAATTGTAGAACTTATTACTGAAAGTGACAAGGAAATCAACACGCGAAAAAGAATCAATGAAACGTGTGACAAAATGGAAGTCTGTCCTGTAG